GCAGCAGCGCCAGCAAGCGGGCGAGGGCCGGAGCAGCAGCAGCAGCCGAGCGAGCAAGCGAGAGCCGAAGCAACAGCAGCAGTGCGAGCGAGCGAGCAAGAGACAGAGCATCAGCAACAGATCCGGCTGGTATGGATGCTGCCGCCGAAGGGGCCTTGCGCTGGGGGAGAGCCGCCATGGAGATGTCGCCCGTGGCGCCGGCTTCGAGGTAGCCACATCATGGGGGCGTGGGATGGAGCATCGTCGGTGCCGAGAGGTCAAGTTGAGGAGAGGGTGCGATGCGATTAGTGTACAACCTCTTTGGTGGCGCCGACTAGGCCTCGGCTTCGTCCGAGGAGTCGGTGAGGATGTTGCGGTTCCGATGGAGCAGGTTAAGGCGACGCTGTGGGGATGGAGCAGCTGCGATAGACGAGGCGATCGTCGGAGCAGCTCCTTGGAGGTGGAGGACGGGGCGGCTGAACCGACGGGACGACGGATCCTCATCCGGGGAGGTGGGTGAGGGACGTCAAGCTGTTGTGGTGGACGACGTCGTTGGGGAAGAGGCTCCGACCGGGCAGCAGTGAGGTGGCAGATGGAGGAGGGTGGGGTTTCGTGGCTAGAGCACAGAGGTTATGGCGGCCTGGGATTTCGAATGGCGAAAAGAAGGCGATGGGAGGGGCAATGTAGGGTGTGTTACAAAAGTACCCCCACCGATTTGAACTAGCGGACCTTTCGGCTCAGGGTTAGAAGGGGGATTTCACAAGTCGGGATTTGGCAGCTGGAGGGAGTTTTTGCGCGCGTTGTAATTTCGGGATAGCAAGGCACGAGTTGTGAAGGCGCACGTTTTGGGAGCACGATATCTGAATTTTCGGGATATAATAAGGCGCGAGTTGAACTTTAGGGACAAGCATAACGTGTAATATTATATATACCAAATCAATTCGCACTTCCCTCAACGAAAAAACGAAAAAAATAAAGCTATTCACACCATACAAAGAGAGAGTCTTGTCCCGTTTTACTGTACAAATGCTATTCAAAGCTACGTGTGAATCCATGTTATGTTCAATTAAATTTTTTTGTTATCTGTATAATGCATGTAACCTACTCATACCAACATTTTAGTGCATTCCAAATGTCTATACTACTGCTGCAATTCGAACTAGATTTGAATTTGTTTCTCTATTTGAATAAGAACCTACAATCATGATTGTTGCCAACTTAAACCATCATTCGTGTATTATCTTAACAACACACCACATAATTACTATAGAGATAGATATGAACTCGAATTCAAATTTTTGGACACACTTAATGTTGATTCCAAATAATAGTACATTTGATGAACTAACTAGATACTCATGATCTAAACCATGTTCCATACGTACACCATGTTTATCGCACAAGGTATAGTGCCCCGCCCCCTACATTATGACAAGTATTTAGCCCTAAGCTGCAAAAGCCACACATTATCCCAGATAATAATCAATGTTCTATATATTATATGTACTACTAGCAAGATGCCCATGCGTTGAATGGAACATCGAGATGCATTTGTATGAGTAGTTTATCTTATGAGAGAAAAGGATGAACGATGGAAGACCTTATTTGTAAATGTGGAGAGGGGTGTGAGTATATTTTTTTCAAAATTGCCATAATTTCCTTCATAACCGTCAGATATAAATCGGACGGTCTATATTGTAGGATGGCAGGCACAATATATATATAAGATTAGGATTTTCTACAATAGCTTGCCACAGAACTAGTTAAGGTTTTCAACGGTGTAAAAGTTCTCTAAAATCCTGAAAAAAATACTGAACCAACACATCTACAATATAACATGATCCAACGGATGGATTGAAAAAATATGATTGCATGTATCCTGAACAAAAAGAACAAATGTTTTAATATATATTGATCCTGTAGTGAGCTGAAATGATTGTTTTTTTCACTGAGAATGCATAAATGCACATTTTCACAATCACACCGTTAGATCATCTTATTATATTGGAGTGAGGCTTCCCTATTTATTTCATATTTTTTACTTACTTTTAAACCGTTAAATGTTTAGCAAGCCTTAACTAGTTCTGTGGCAAGCTATGATAGACACAGTTTTACCTATATATATATATATATATATATATATAATATTATATGTGGTATAACATGTTCATAACCACACCATGCGTATCACCGTTATATATATTCAAGCATGCGTCGGTTTAAAACACTATGATAAATTCTTCAAATATCTGGATTCACTTTTTACAATGAATTATGATCTCTTCGTCTTTTACACCCACACAATCCTCATATCTTTATAGCTAGCGCTAACTTTCTCTCGTGCATGCACACGCCCACCTCCCTCTCACCCTCCCTTAGCATTCTCTAGCTCCATGGTGCAAATTCGTCCTTTCCCTTTAGGTTGTTCACCCACGGTGTTTGTAGGCCCCCAGCTCCTTCTTCCCGACACACACCGATCGATATGCCTCTCTAGCCAGGTGTGCCTACCACAAACACAAGCTTTCCCTCTTCTCTTCTCACCGTCCATGTCTCACTCCCGCCCCTCTTTTCATCGATATCGTACTTTGATGTCGCTTGAAGCTACATCAGTATTCCCCCAAAGAGGAAGGGATGATGCAGCATAGCGGTGGTAGGTATTTCCCTCAGATATGAAACCAAGGTTATCGAACCAGTAGGAGAACCAAGAAACACAATGTAAACAACCCCTGCACACAAAGAACAACACTTCGCAACCCGACGTGTTAAAGGTGTTGTCAATCCCTTTCGAGGTACGACACCTCAAGATAGGCAAAGGACGTGAGGTAAATTTGTAGATGGGATAAATAGATTGCGGAACAAATAAATTACAGCAAGGTATTTTTGTATTTTTTTGGTTTAATAGATCTAAAATAAACGCAAGGAAAAAGTATATCACAAGGAAAATATATGAGAAAGAAGAGCCAGGGGCCGTAGGTCTCACTAGTGGCTTCTCTCGAGAAAAATAGCAAACGATGGGTGAATAAATTACTGTTGCGCAATTGATAGAACTTCAAATGATCATGATGATATCCAGGCAATGATCATTACATAGGCATCACGTCCAAGATTAGTAGACCGACTCCTGCCTGCATCTACTACTATTACTCCACACATCGACCGCTATCCAGCATGCATCTAGTGTATTAAGCTCATGGAAAAACGGAGTAATGTAATAAGAACGATGACATGATGTAGACAAGATCTGTTTATCTACTGCGACAGATATGGATCCCGTCTTTTAATCCTTAGTAGCAACGATACATACGTGTCGGTTCCCTTTCTGTCACTGGGATCAAGCACCGTAAGATCGAACCCACTACCGGGCATCTCTTCCCATTGCAAGATAAATAGATCAAGTTGGCCAAACAAAACCCAAATATCGGAGAAGAAATACGAGGCTATAAGAGATCACACATATAAGAGATCAAAGAACTCAAATAAATTTCATGGATATAAAAAGATATAACTGATCATAAACTCGAAGTTCATCATATCCCAACAAACACACCGCAAAAAAACTTATATCATATGGATCTCCAAGAGACCATTGTATTGATAATCGAGAGAGAAAGGGAGCCATCTAGCTACTAACTGCGGAACCGAAGGTCTACAAAGAACTACTCACACATCATCGGAGAGGCACCAATGGAAGTGGTGAACCCCTCCGTGATGGTGTCTAGATTGGATCTCGTGGTTCTGGACTCTGCGACGTCTGGATGAAAATTTCGTCGAGTCCTCTAGGGTTTTTGGAATATTGGGGTATTTATAGAGCAAAGAGTCGGTCCAGGGGGCACCCGAGGTGGGCACAACCCACCAGGGCGCGCCTGGGCCTCCTGGCGTGCCCTGGTGGGTTGTCCCCTCCTCGGGACTCCCCCCAGGTGCAACCAGGGTCCCTTGTGTTCCTTCTGGCCCATAAAAAATCATCATAAATTGGCGTGGCATTTGGACTCCTTCTGATATTGATTTCTTGCGATGTAAAAAATATGAAGAAAACAACAACTGGCAGTTGGCACTATGTCAATAGGTTAGTACCAAAAAGTGATATAAAATGACTATATAAAACATCCAAGATTGATAATAAAATAGCATGGAATAATCAAAAATTATAGATACGTTGGAGACGTATCAGCATCCCCAACCGTGCCTCTCGCGGAACCAAAACCGTGACTCTCACGAAAGGAAAAAAAATAGAAAACATGTTTTTTTCGATTATGAGAGGCACAACCGTGACTCTCCCAAAAGCAAAACCGTGCCTCTCGCGGAATCAAAATCGTGACTCTCGCGAAAGAAAAAAAAAATAGAAACACGTTTTTTTATTTCCGAGAGGCACAACCGTGACTCTCACAAAAGCAAAAGCATGCCTCTCGCGGAAGCAAAACCGTGAGTCTCGCAAAAGAAAAAAAAGCACATTTTTTTGCGCAATTTTTTTTTGAATTTTTTTATCAGGTGAGGAAGACCGATGAAAACCAAAACGTAAAAAAAACGTCTAAAAAGCCAAAAATACGTGTGAATTTTTTTAAAAAAAATTAAGCACGACACATGGCGAATGGCTGAGAACACGCCAAACAACGATGGTCGTTGCGAGGCTCCTGAAAGAGCGCTCATTAACTAGTTGCTCTCGCAACAGCTGGACACCGATAATTTGTCGCAGGAGCGGCAAATAGGGATTTCCCTCGCGAAACGTTCGCTCGATAAGATTTTCCCTAACGGCCCCACCGCCCAACAACAGGCCAAGGCCCAGTACCTCTAAGTCTCCGACGGCCCATCCGGAACCCTGACGGGCTGGCCCCACGCGAGCCCTCCTACCCTCTCGTCTTCGGTCTTGGAGCACAAGAAGATGAACGCCGCACCGCACCACGCCAACAAAAGGAGGAAAACAGCACGCCCGAACCCTACTGCTGCTGCGGACACGCACCACTAGCACACCTCGCATCGTCGCCGGATCGGAGGAGGAGGGGAGCCGAGTAGGAAGAAGGCCGAGGATGTTCCGCAACCAGTACGACACCGATGTCACCACCTGGAGCCCGCAGGGGCGGCTGTTCCAGGTGGAGTACGCCATGGAGGCGGTGAAGCAGGGCTCGGCCTGCGTCGGCCTCCGCTCCGCCACCCACGCCGTCCTCGCCGCCGCCAACAAGTCCGCCAACGAGCTCTCCTCGCACCAGCGCAAGGTCTTCCGCGTCGCCGACCACGCCGGGGTCGCGCTCGCCGGCCTCACCGCCGACGGCCGCGTCCTCTCCCGCTTCCTCCGCAACGAGTGCATCAACCACGCCTTCGTCTACGACGCGCCGCTCCCCGTCTCCAGGCTCGCGCTCCGCCTCGCCGACAAGGCGCAGGTCCGTCCCCGTTTCCCGTCCCGATCCCCTTTTCGTGTTTTCCTGCCCCGATCTGCTCGCGCGCCTAGGGTTTCGTGCCGGAGGGGTCAGATCTGGTGCGGGAGATGCGTGGTTTCGTGCGTGCTGGGGTAATCCCGGCTACGATCTATGCTGGGAACTAGGGTTTTCATGGTGAAGTCGCGGGGAGCACGATCCAGTGGTACAAATGGTTACGATTTTGACGATTTCGCCAGTGGTAAGGGTCAGGACCCTCCGTACAATTTAGTTATGTGGAGTGTTATTATGGTGCTTGATCTCTTATGCTCTGTTTTAGAATTGTGCAGCAACTGAGAACTGTAATGGTATCTTAGTTTCCTTGCATACACAGTCTGAAGTCTCGAGTGGACCCTTCTTCAGCTTCTTACGGTTTAAGTTAAACACTGTCTTATGTGTACTAGCTGGTATCGCTGCCCGCTGCTGCGCGCGGATATTGTGGCACAGGAAATATAGCACTGCTGTCATGCATAACAAAATTGTCATCCAAAAAGGGATGAAGAAACTAGAACCAAGAGCTCTAAATTTGAATGATAAACAATTAGGATGCTCATAGTAAATATGTATGCATTGATTTTAGTTTAGTTGATGGTCATCGATGGCAGACATCTCCACCAACAACCACAAACCACAGTTGCACATCGATCCTGTGGCGCTGCACTCTGGCCACGAAGGTGCAGATCCCTGCGTGTTGCCAGCTGTGAGATCTCAACCTGTCTTTATGTACTTTAACTCCTTTTAAGGTTTGCCCATGCTTTCCACAATCAGTGAATCCAAATTTCTGTTCAGTATTTGTCTGCCATGTGGGATTGATCTGCACCTAGAGGTTTCGATTTGTTTCATATGCCAGTTTTATTTTGCTTTTCCTGGTTACCTCATCCTTACAAAAGAAAATTGTATAGTACATTCAGTTGTTTGTTTTGTCCTGCTGGTCTTATCCCCCCTCTTATCTTGCTAGCAAAGCCTATAACAGACAGTACAGTAAGATCTTGATTTTGGGATGCATGCCAGGTGCAACACCATTCTCTACAGGAAGATTGTGCCCTTCTACAATGTTAACTTACCCTCTAGAATTTAAACATGTTAAGAAGGGCAATGTCGTCGCTGATTATTTTTTGTTGTGGAGAAATTAATAACATGCTTTAAGAAACTTGTATTAAAATTCTTCTAACAATTGCTATCACTGCCAGATGATGTAACATACCTCGTGTGTGGGTGGTTACTTCCATGGTGCACATTTTAGTTATTAGAGTTGTCAATCAAATCCTAAATTGTACACATAATTTGTTTTGTAGCAACCTTGCTCTCGTTCCCAGTCAAGCATGCCCAGTTGAGGCTGCTCTTCAATCTTTCAGGGTGAATGCCATCATGCTGATTTCTGAACTTTGCATCTACTCCTTAGTTGCAAAATAAAATTCAAGGACTGAAACCAGGGGCCATTGTGACTAGTAGGTAGATAAAGGGAGTAGTGAGTGGGGTTTTGGGAGGGAGGCAGGTGATCTGTGGCAGTGTCTCGCATACTTCTGTTGAATTAACTCTCCTCCAAAGCAAAACAAAATAATGAACTTCTCAATCAATTCATTTACTGGTTTAATTTCATGATTCCATAATCAGATCACTGCTCTCAAGCTAGCATCTTGATTACTCCCTCCATCCCATAATGTAAGACGACTTGTCAAAAAACGCCTTACATTATGGGACGGAGGGTCAAAAAACGTCTTACATTATGGGACGGAGGGAGTACTTTTTAGAAGGTTGTCTTAAAATCAACATGTTTTCACCAGTGTGCATTTCTCTTCCCATCTTGTGGCGGGCAATGTGTTGACTATGTATTTTAATGTTGCAGGTTTGCACACAGCGTTCATGGAAGAGGCCCTATGGGGTCGGCCTCCTTGTTGCGGGTCTAGATGAGTCTGGAGCCCATCTCTACTACAACTGCCCCAGCGGGAACTACTTTGAGTACCAGGCATTCGCCATTGGCTCCCGCTCTCAGGCAGCGAAGACTTACCTCGAACGCAGATTCGAGAAATTCAATGCCTACACCCCGGACGAGCTCATCAAGGACGCGCTCTCAGCCATAAAGGAGACCCTCCAAGGTGAGAAGCTGACGAGCTCCAACTGCACCATTGCCATTGTCGGCAGAAAGGAGGATGGCACCGTCGAGCCCTTCTCCATGATCGACTCCAAGAGGATCCAGGAGATCATTGATTCCATGGAGGCTGCCGACGAGGCACCAGCGGCCGATGCTCCGGCTGAATCAAGCTCGATGCAGGAGGACAGGGGCGACGCACCTGCCGCAGGGGATGCCCCCGCGGCGGCGGACGAGCCTGCTGCACCGGACGCCCCGGCGCCGATGGACATCTAGGCGTCGTCTGATCGATACATGTCATGTCCGTCCACCCCCCTTGTCGCACCACCATTCAGAGTTTCCAAAAAGACTAGACTGTTGTTTTAGAAAGGTTGCCATCCATTGTGTGTACTCTTTGCTTCTGTGCCACTACAGCTTTGCGGTGCCTGTGTCTGGACAGATTGATTTTTATCTATCATGTGATGGTGCGGACAGACTCGTTTGGTTGGGGCAGACAGAATTACGTTTTATCATAAAATCCTGCTACCTTTTGTAGTGTTTACTGTGTGTTTTCTGGACACTTTGGAAATTGAACAAACAACGTGGTACAGGGGAATTTGCGTCCTTGCGTTGTTGGGATTTGCGTCCTTGCGTTGTTGGGACTGTGTTTTCTGGACACTTTGGAAATTGACAGACACGATGACAATTTCCACAATGAAAATGAAAAACAATCTACCAATAGCAAATTTATACTTCCTCTATACATATATGGTAAGGAGGGAGTAGTCGGGATGTGCATATGTGCCCGTGGGTATTTGCACATTGGGTTGTTGAATATTATTTTGGATAGTACAGGGGAATTTGCGTCCTTGCGTCGGCAAGATACAGCAGATACCTGTGCTAGCAATGCAAGCCGTGCGGGTTCTCGTCGAATCCCGTAGCACCAGTACGAGTGTTGAAAAACTTGCCAAGAGACAGAGATGCTGCTGTCTTCCGCTGTGTGCTGGAGCGTTGCATCACCAGGCCATCAAAGTCCAAGCCTGATGTTTTTTCTTTTCTTGAAACGAGGCAAAAGACTGATTGAGAAGAAGAGAATTGCCTGGCTAATTGGTGGAAAACCGGGCTAAAACCCATACAACCCAACCCATATGACATGGGCATCACCGGTCAACCTGGCCACCGACACGGAACTCAAAGTTGCAAAGAAGAAAAGACATCCGCCGAAGAGTCATTGGTTGCCTCGAACGGGCGACTCCGGCTTCACCATAGAGCTTCATCGTCGAAGCCAACCCACAAACAGCTGCAGAAGCCATGACAACACATGCGAATGGTTGGCCATATGCGAAAGCAACCGACAGCTCCGACTTTGACAACGAGCATCGAAAGGGAAATATGCAAAACTTGTGCCGACCGTGCCCTCTACAAACGAACACAGAGTGCCTGTCATCGTCACCACTTGTACTCGCTGCACCGCAACTCCGACCTCAAAGCAACCAAGCAACCACCAGAAGGGCATCTCGGACACGCCGGGAAGAATCGACTACCAATGTCCACGCTGCGACCCGAGCTCTACTCGACGCCATCATCGTTGCCACAACAGAAACCAGCGCCCCGCCTCAGCAACCATGCGGTAAAGATGCCGCCATCCACCGGTCTCCCAGTCATAGTCGACTCCAAGACAATGCCCACAGGGAGGAGAAAGACGCGAAGACGCCTCCATCGCCTGATCCAGCTGATCTGAGGGTTCCCTCTGGAGCCAATGTCGTGGAGAGAAGGAGGAGCACACCTCCAAGATGACGCTTCCAAGAAAGGTCAAGTCACCCGTGGACGACACCGACGCCGACTCTGATGAAGATCGAAACAAGGATTTCTCCCGGAATTGCGTCGACCACCTATCGCCACCGACCGTTGCCCACCAACCACCATCCCAGTAAAGGTCAACCTCACTCTGGTCGCGGGCTCCCATGACCCACCACACCAAGACACGCCCTACCCCCTGGCCGTAGCCGCTAACCACCACTGCAGCAACTAGAACGGAGCACCAGTGTGGAAGAACCACATCAAGCCGGTTCAG